GCTGGACTTTTGTAAAGCATGCTGTGGCAAGTTATGGACGCTAGTATCGACCTCAGAGACCCAAACCCGAATTAATAATTAAGGCTCAAAGTATGGTTGAACAACCGTTGAACAAACAGGTTGCACAACGAAAAGAGACTAGTGCGACCGCTAGACGGCGGTTCCCGCCGGCCCCAAGGCTGCCCAGCCCCAGTACCACACCGGCCACATACACCGTGGCGCTGGAGTCGGTCAGTGAGGCACTAGACGGGCTACGGAACCATGCGCGCGCCGGCCGGACAGGCTGCGCGCAGGGGCCGCGCCGCCTCGATTTCGCACCTCCGCTCCGCGGCCGGCTGAGGGGCTAGCTCGCCCGGCGACAAGCCCAGCCATCGCCCAGCGCCCCGTATCGACGGGGGGCACGCAAAAAAACCGCACCTACGACTAGGGTGAGCCCGTGAGGGCGTCGGTGTGGGCCGCGGGCGGGCTGCCAGGAGGGCGCGGGTGGGAGCATGGGAGATGCACCACCGCTCGACGAAGACGCGCCCGACGAAGCCCTGCTTGCGGAGGATGGTCGATCCTCACCAACTAGTGTCGGGCGTGTGCGAAAAAGAGCGCAAATCGGAGCTCAACTCGCGCGCGGCTGGGAAAGGGGTGTGGCACTTCTCCGAAGGCGCCTCGCGAGGAGCTGCTGCTGCCCCCAAACGCGCTCGGGCAGCACGTCGGCGCGCCTGCGGGGTTGGGGAGGTGAAACTATGCTTGCTGCACGCGCATCCCGCACCACCCCCACGTCCGCGCGCACCATGCCGCCATCCCACCTCACAGCCAAGCGCCATCGCCGTCGGACGCGGCGACGCCGAGCGGTGGCCTCGCAGACGACGAGCGCGATGAGGCCGCCGCGCCGCCGGGGTGGCCGGCGCGTGCCAGCCGCTGGCCCGTCCAGCGTGGCGGGACCGGCTCGCCCATCCTGGCCCGCGCGCTTGCCGACGCGAGAAGATCGCGCGAGAGGGCAAAATGTGGCAAAATCGCCCTGTTTGCCAAACCTTCACGTCGACTTCACGTCGGAACGAGTCGGATCGACGACTCCCCGCCTGCACCAGCGTGTGCGCCTTGCAATTCTATACAGAATCGATACTTGGTACGTCCTCCCAATCGCTCGTGGAGAGGTCTACGTACTAATCTTAAGTGTACATGTACTAATCTTAAGTGTACAGGCGAGTTCGTCGACCGCTTCCTGCGAGCAGCGCCGGGGCAGCGGCGCGGCGCGGCGGGCGGCGGCGCGGACGGCGGCGTGGGCGGCGGCGCGGGCGGCGCGGCGGACGGCGCGGACGGCGCGGTGGGTGACGCGGCGGAGGGCGCGGCGGAGGGCGCGGCGGAGGGCGCGGCGGAGGGGGTGCGGATCGGCTACTTGGCGCAGCACGGCCTGTTCGAGCAGTTCCCGCGGCCAATACTAATTCTAATACTAATACTAATACTATTGCTGGTATGAGTATCACCCAGGCCTGTTCGAGCAGTTCCCGCGGCCAATACTAATTCTAATACTAATACTAATACTATTGCTGGTATGAGTATCACCCAGGCCTGTTCGAGCAGTTCCCGCGGCCAATACTAATTCTAATACTAATACTAATACTATTGCTGGTATGAGTATCACCCAGGCCTGTTCGAGCAGTTCCCGCGGCCAATACTAATTCTAATACTAATACTTATACTATTGCTGGTATGAGTATCACCCAGGCCTGTTCGAGCAGTTCCCGCGGCTTCGGCGCGACTTTGAGGTGCCGGCGGCGTGCGGCGTGAGCCGCGGGTGCGTGCAGCTCTCCTTCAACTTGTAAACTTGCAACAGGACTGTGCAGCACACGCACGCGTGGCTCGGCCCCGCCGGCACGGTGACGCCGCTGCACTTCGACTCGTACGACAACATCTTCTCACAAGTTGTCGGCTACAAGCTCGTGCGCTAATACTAATACTAATACTAATACTAATGCTAATACTGATACTAATGCTAATGCTAATGCTAATACTAATACTCATTCAGGTCGTCGGCTACAAGCTCGTGCGCCTCTACGACGCCGCGCAGACGCCGCTGCTCTACCCGCGCGCGGCGGGCGGCGGCGGCACCGACGCGCAGGGCAACGTGAGCGCGGTCGACGTGGAGAAGCCCGACCTGCTAATACTAACACTAATCGTGTACCAATACTAGTCTTAAGCGGATGAATACTAATCTTAGTAAAAAGTACAGGTCGACGTGGAGCAGCCCGACCTGCGCCGCTTTCCCGAGTTCGCGCGCGCGCGCTGCGCGGCGGTGGTGCTCGGGCCGGGCGAGGGCCTCTTCATACCCGCGGGGTGCTGGCACCACGTGCGGAGCCTGACGCCAGCCTTCAGCGTCAGCTTCTGGTTCTGAGGTCCGGTCCAGCTTCGCAAGTCGAGACTCTAAGAGAGACAAGGACAAGGCATCAAGAGTAAGGTAAGGTAAGGTAAGGA